AACCCACTTGGAGTAAAGGAGAATGAAGAACACCAAAGACACAAGGAAAATATTAGCTCAAGAGACAAAAGGGCCACATAAACCAGAGACTCCATCAGCCTGAGACCAGAAGAGCTAGATGGTACTTGGTTACTACCAATGACCACCCTGACAGGGAACACAACAGAATGTCCCTGGCGGAGCAGGAGAAAAGTGGGGTACAGAACTCAAATTCTAGTAAAACGATCAGACTTAGTGATCTACTAAGACTACAGGAATCCCAGAAGACACGGCCCCCGGACTCTCTGTTAGCCCAAAGCCAAACGAGTCCTGAAGCCAACTCTTGCAGACAAAGATTAGACTGGACTATAAGACATAAAATGATACTAGTGAAGAGTGTGCTTCTTAGCTCAAGTAGATACATGAGTCTAAATGGGCAGCTCCTGTCCAGAAGGAGGGATGAGAAGGCAGAAAGGGACAGGAGTTGGTTGAATGGACACAGTAAATCCAGGGTGGAAAGAAGGAGTATGCTGTCACAGTATGGGGAGTGCAACTAGGGTCACATAGCAGTGTGTATATAAAGTTTTGTATGAGAAACTAACTTGAACTGTAAGCTTCCATTTAAAGCACAATAAAAAAAAAAAAACTAAAAAAAAAAAAATACAAAACAAAACAAAAAAAATCTGCCTGTCTATTTTCTTTGAAACCTATCTTATCTTCTCCATTCCTGGAATTGGATAAATGTGAGTAGCTCCCTTGCCCATTCACCTGGAACTATTTTTTATTACACACCTTCCCAACCAGTGAGCACCAGTTTAGCACTCAGGTCTCCGGAATCAACCAGACTCAGATTCTAACCCTCTTGATCCTGGGCAGTCACCTGATCTCTCAAAGCCTCAATTTTCTCATCTGTAAAAGAAAGATGATAATAATATCCTCCAAATGCTGCTGCTGTTTTTGTCAGTTGCTATCAAGTCGGCTCCAACTCATGGTGACCCCTCGTACAACAGAAGGAAACGTTGCCGGGTCCTGCACCATCTTCACAATCATGGTATGCTTGTGTCCATTGTTGCAGCCACTGTGTATTGAGTGCCTTCCAACCTAGGGCGCTCATCTTCTAGCACTGTACTCGATGATATTCTGTTATGATCCATAGGATTTTCCTTGGCTAATTTTTGGAAGTAGATCACCAGGCCTTTCTTCCTAGTCTGTCTGAGTCTGCAAGCTCTGCTGAAACTTGTCCATCACGGGTGACCCTGTTGGTATTTGAAATACCAGTGGTATGGCTTCCAACATCACAGCAACACACAAGTCACTACAGTATGACAAACTGACAGACATGTGGGGGATGTTCAATAAATGGAACTCATCACTAAAAAAATAATAATAATATTTTTTAAATAATGTTTATATGGTTTAAAAATTGTTTTTGGAATTACACTAGCAATCTGAAAAAGAGCAATAGTGATGGACTAGATCTATCAGATGTTAAAGTATTTTATAAAACTACAATAATTAAAACACATGGATCAATGGAACAGAGTAGATGCTCCAGCAATATACTCCAAAACATGGGTATTTAGTAGATCATAAAGGTATTTCAAATCAATGGGAGGAACAGAACAATTACTCAATATACACTATTGGGAAAAGTGGGTAGCCATTTGGAAAATAATATAAAGTTGGTTTCATACTTCTTATCAGGATAAATTCAAATGAGATGAACAATTTTGGGGAATTCATATTACAAAGGGCTCATTCTCCAAATATATAAACTTTCCTAAAATAAATAAGAAAATGACTAACAAACAGCACAATAAAAAAGTGCAAAAGACATGAATTGACAGTTCATAAAAAAGGAGATATGTGGAACCCTTAAGAATATGAAAACATGCTCTTCATTCATAAAGAATGAAATGAAAATTAAAAAGTCACTAAAACATTTTTCACCTATTTTGTTCGTACATAAGTGTTGTTGTTGTTAGGTGCTGTCGAGTCAGTTCCGACTCATAGTGACCCCATGTACAATAGAACGAAACGTTGCCCGGTCCCGCACCATCCTCACAATCATTGCTGTGTTTGAGCCCATTGTTGTAGCCACTGTCTTAGTTATCTAGTGCTGCTATAACAGAAATAACCACAAATGGATGGCTTTAACAAAGAGGAATTTATTTTCTCACAGTCTAGTAGGCTAGAAGCCCAAATTCAGGGCATCAGCTCCAGGAGAATGCTTTCTCTCTCTGTAGGCTCTGGAGGAAGATCCATCAATCTTCCCCTGGACTAGGAGCTTCTTTGCGCAGGAACCCCAGGTCCAAAGGACATGCTCTGCTCCCAATGCTACTTTCTTGGTGATATGAGGTCCCCTTGTCTCTCAGCTCACTTCTGTCTTTTATATCTCAAAAGAGATTGGCTCAAGACACAACCCAATCCTGTAGATCGAGTCCTGCCTCATTAACTGCTGCCTATCCCACCTCATTAACATCATACAGGTAGGATTTACAACATATAGGGAAATCACATCAGATGATAAAATGGTGGACAATTACAATACTGGGAATCGTGGCCTAGCCAAATTGATAACACATCTTTTTGGGGGACACAATTCAATCCATGATAGCTACTGTGTCAATCCATCTCATTGAGGGTCTTCCTCTTTTTCACTGACCCTCTACTTTACCAAGCATGATGTCCTTCTCCAGGGACTGGTCCCTCCTAATAACATATCCAAAGCACAGGAGACAAAGTCTTGCCATCTTTACTTCTAAGGAGCATTCTGGCTATACTTCTTCCAAAACAGATTTGTACATTCTTTTGGCAGTTGACGGTATATTCAATATTTTTCACCAACAACATAATTCAAATGCATCAATTCTTCAGTCTTCCTTATTCCTTGTCCAGCTTTCGTATGCATATGAGGTGACTGAAAATACAATGGCTTGGGTCAAGTGCACGTTAGCCCTCAGTGTGACGTCTTTGCTTTTTAACACTTTAAAGAGGTCTTTCCCAGCAGATTTGCCCAATGCAATGTTTGACTTCTTGACTGCTGCTTCCATGGGCTTTAATACTGCATTTATAGTAGCATATTATTCACAGAGTTCTCCATCTTGCTTTTCTTGCTTAATATATCTTAGAGATCTTTCTATAATAACACATACAGAGCTGACTTACTCTTTATAATAGTAGTATAGATGTTGCTAGATTGCCCTCCAAAAAGGTTGTACACTCCCACCAGCTTGCAGGAAAGTGTCTTTTTCCAGACACTCTTTTTTTTTTTTTAACATTTTATTATACCTTAAGTGAGAGTTTATATAACAAATTAGTTTTTCCATCAATATTTCAGACACAAATTGTTCCATGACATTGGTTGCAATCACCACAACATGTCACCACTATTCCCATTTCCTCCCTGGCTTTCTTGTTTCCATTCATCCTGTTTCTCTGCCCCTCCCTGCCTTCTCATCTTGCTTTTGGGCAAACGCTGTCCTTTTGGTCCTGTACAGTTGATTATTCTAAGGAGCACATTCCTCGCGGGTATTATTGTTTATTTTATAGTCCAGACTATTACTTGGCTGAGAGGTGGTCTCTGGGAGTATCTTCAATTTCCGTTAGAAGGTTGTCTTAGGGCATTAGTCTTGGGGGTTTCTCTAGTCTCTATCAGACCATTTCCAGGCACTGTTTCTAATAATAATGCTAACATTATTGAATGCCTACCAAGAATGAGACATGTTCTCAAGGTCTTACATGTACTAATTCATTTACTATTCACAACAACTCTGTGAGATAGGTTTAATTATTGTCACCATTTTAGAGCACAAAGAATTGGAGCACTGAGAGGTTAAGGTCACAGAGCTAGTTAAGTGGGGCTGGGATTCAAACCATAACTCCTGTTTTCTTAACCGCTATATTTTATGACCTTCCACTTATCTTCCTTTTTGATCTTTGCCATTCTGATAGATTTAAAAAAAATAGAATTTCACTGGATTCTTAATTGGCATTTTTCTCGGCAACAATGAGGTTGAGCATCTCTCATATGTTTAAGAGTCATACTATTTGCTTATATATGATCAAACTCTGCCTATTTTCCTATGGGATTACTGGTCTTTTTAATAATTTTCGAGAGCTCTTTATATATTAAAAAAGTTAATCTGTCTGTTGCAAATATTTTTTCCCAGTTCATTATTGTCTTTGGATTTTATTTGTCATATGTCTAAATGTCTTGCAGATTTTGGAAACACTATTCAAAGACCAACTTGCTGCTAGCTTTTTAATATAGTTTTGGTTTATAGCTTTGGCTCATTCCAAAATGGGTTTGAGATGCCTAGTTGTGCCATGTCCACTCATCTAGCCCTGCCACAACCTATCTATTCTGTGGCAACTACAATTTCTCTTTTATCTAGTAGGCTTGTGACTATGGAAGTGTGATGGTTAAGGTTTTCTGTCAACTTGGCTGGGCCATGATTCTCAGTGGTTTGGCAGTTAAGATGTGTTTTGGCAGCTGTAATCACCTCCAGAATGAGATCTGATATAATGTAATCACCTCCATGATGAGATCTGTCATGAGCAGCCAATCAGCTGAAAGGGAGTTTCCTTGGGGATGTGGCTCCCTAGAGTAAATGATTTTAATTTTCTGTTTATCTGTCCATGAATGAAGCTTAACCACACTTGTTCTCTTGTAATTTACAACTACCCTGGGCTCTCAGTTCGAATGTCTACCTGATACATCTTCCTCAGTCACGCACATTTTCATAAATGTGCAAAAATTTTTCATCATCAGGGAGACAACAGTTTCTGCTATACAGGTCACAAGGGTGCTATTTTAGATCCCTCACCATCATGAAAATATAAAAATACAATACTAATTTATTTGGTAATTAACATTTACCTGTGTCATGCTGGCACCTGATTGCTCCTCCTGCCAAGTTATGTATGGCAGAAAGTCCACATCTTCTTTGGCAATAAGTTCCAAAATATTTGGAATATTAGGAAAAGGTGACTCATTCTCATCCTATATCGAATCACAATTGGGTGAAACCAAAACAGACATTATCAAATGAAATTACTATTATACATTTTAAAGCCTGTGAATGTTTACTCTGGAATATTATTGTGCATAAGACTGGAACATGTATCCTTAGTCACAAGTCAGTAGAATGATATTCCTATCTGAGCACTTACTGGGAGCTGGGCAGTGCATTGAGTGCTTTACATGGATTTTCTTCTTCAACTTATGAAGGAGAAATGGCCTCTCAGAGGGTAAGGGAAGTCTAGAGCCCTTTCAATTTTTTTAGGCTCTTGGATTAATAAAAGAAATGCTAAAAATATTACAAAATTGTAGTATATCTTAAAATTAACTATGATAACATTAAAAATGATAACATACCTAACTCATTTAGAGAGATCATCATAAGCCCTAATGCTGATGTGGCCCTTCCTGAATGTGAGGCAGCCCTGCTTCAGTGATCCTCCTGGCCTCTTCTTGTCTCCGCTCCTCATAAGCCATGGAAGTAGGTATTGTTATTAGCCCCATTTCACTAATGAGAACACTGAGGCTACGTAACTTGCACAAAGCCAGTAACTGGTCTAACCAAGATTCAAGTCCAGGTCTATCTGACTTTAAGAACTTTGCTCTTAACTGTTATACAACGAAGCAATGAATTTCTCTGAGACGTCTGGATAGTGAAAATGCTGTTTCTCTTTTGAAACCACTGTGATGCCTGAATCACAAAGGTACAAGGGAAGAAGTTTATCTCTTTGGACTGGCCTTGGAGGATTCTGTGGAAATAGGAAGGCCTTCTGGTGCAAATATCAAGGGTTTCTTTCCTATGGGGGTAGTGCAACAGCTGTTCCAGAAACTCATAGAGGTGTTAAAAACTCAGATGACTTCAGTTACTGGCAAAGAGCAAAATAAGTGAAGAGGCCAGGTAGGTACTGCAGCTCAACAAAGTTCTTGTGAGATTGGAATGTGAGCTGCTACTCAACTCTGCCATGTGAAAACGGGAATGCAGTATAGCCAGGTCATCATATTTTTCAAGAAAATTAAGAAATATGTGTCTTTGGGAACAATCCCCCATAAATTCAAGTAACTAAAACAATTTTTTGAAAACACTGTCAGAATAAATAAAACACATCTGTGGCTGGATATATGGAGCTCTGGTGGCTCAGTGGTTAAAGCACTCGGCTACTAACCAAAAGGTCGGCAGATCAAACCCACCAGCTGCTCCGCAGGAGAAAGATGTGGCAGTCTGCTTCTGTAAAGATTTACAGCACTGGAAACCCTGTGGGGCAGTTTTACTCTGTCCTACGGTCGCTATGAGTCAGAATCCACTAGACAGCAACAGGTTTGGTTTTTTTTGTTTGGGCTAGTTATGGTAAGGGCCACCAACCAGTTTGACTTCTACCTTAGCATTCTAGGTCATATCTGAACCCCTGGGAAAAGTCTTGAGGAGGCAGGATGATGAGGGTCATAGACTATGTAGAGGCCTCACTGGCTCTGCAGGAGTTACATGTTTCATCCTCCTAGTACAGAATGCAATCCTCACTCAATGAGCAGGATACCATCACTGAGAACTGCTGATGCTATGTCTGGTAGCTGCCAGCCCTTGTCATATTTTATTATAATCCGGACCTACTGACTTCAAAGCACCGAGATAACAGGAAAGGGGAAGCAAACTTCTGGGGATTTTAAGTGTGGAGTCAGGGAGAATGAAGAACATCAACTGTATAAAAATATCCAGGAATCTTCTTTAGGGACTGAAATTCTTATTATGCATCAATCTATTTGTACAGTTTTACAATGCCCAACAAGGCTGGCCCTGGTCTAGTCACTTTTTGTTTTTCCACATACAAAAAATTCTAACTAGGCCTACTTGAAAGTGTTTCCCTCCCCCCACCCTTTATATGAAACTTTGCATCTCTCATGGAAATAAACAGGGATATTGATATGAACTTGACAAAAATGCATCTGTGAAATAAATTTAGGGTTCTGTAAAAACTATGCCTTGTATATTATTAAAAAAATCAGTTCTAAATAAAGTCATTTTAAATGTTATTCTTTAGTTATATCAATAATAATAATAATAATGAGCAATGGTTTAATCCAAACTTTACTTATTTACTACTTAAGGTTAATCAGATTGAAGCCCAGTTCTCTTTGACATTAAACTCAGTGCTTTCCACCATGCTACATCACATAAATGGGAAAAATCCTGTGTTTGGGATTTCTTCCTGTGAAGAGCAGATTAGCAATCAGAGCAAGAGTAATTTTCACAGTATGTAAAGATAAATAATTTAACCATGAATTAACAACAATACATACCCTTTTTTCAACTGCCACAAAACTTGTAAATTGTGTTAGGAGAGAGTTTTCTTTACTGATTTTAATAATCAGCGATTTCAAGATCTGCTTCTTCATCTAGGATAGAAGAAAACAAATGAAATCATGTCCTGTTTTATTTTTTACTATTTACCTACGTATGACCAATTAAAAGAGTATTAAATAATCTAAAAAGTTGTTTTTCTATGACAAATACATCATTTTATTAGTATTTCAAAGTAAATATTTAGTCAATGATCCTATTTAAATATCAAATAGGTGACTCCAACGTTCCCTGCAAAATAAGATCAACTGATGAACTAAGTCAGAAAAAATAATTAATTTTTATGTAGCTCTTTATAATTTCTTATTCTTTTACATACAACTTGTGAGGCAGATGTTCTGGTTCCCATTTTAAAGACAAGGAATCAAAGCTTGGAGAGGCTGGGTGACTTGTCAGTGGCAGGGCTGATTAGGAGCCAGGCTGCCCACCTCTGAGTTCAGTGCTGCCTCTCAAAGGGAAAAACGACCTTAAGAAAACTGAACATAAACCTGCTAATCAGAGGGCAATAAAGAAGTCCTGGGAAAAGCAAGAGGCAGTTTTTTACTGGCCACGACTGCTTGCAGGGCATCCAGACCCCTGAGTGGCACACAGGCACCCTCCTTTAGGGATGGCACTGAACACTAATGCCCCCGGCCACATTTGAGATCCCAGCCCATGAGAGACTCCAGGACAGTCAGAGTAGGTGGCTGAGTAGACCCTTGACTAGGGGCCATCAGCACAGTCAGGAGGGGCAAGGTGGACTTTGGCTCTGCTGTGTGTCCTGAGGCAGGTCCCTAACCCCTTGTGCACCTGAGTTTCTTCATTAGTAAAATGGGAATACTAACACCTACAACATGGGTTTGTTGTAAGAATGAAATGAGATCATAGCCATTACAGACAGTTAGTAAATGTTCTCTTTCCTCCCCTGACTGAATTCTCAGGAAACCACTAGCGTTCTTTCCCTAGGTAATTCATTCAACATGCATTTACTGAGTACCCTGCACCCCAGACACAGATATGACAGATGCAATGAGGCCTCCCACAATCACACTCATCTTTTCCACCCAGCTGTCCTGACTTGACATTTTTGAAGATAAATCAATTTAAGAATGACCAAGAACAATGTGCAATGGTTTCTACTATGAAAAGAACAGACCTGGTGATGTGTTTCATTTTCATGGAGAATGCCATATTCAAAATCTCTAACGAGAGCTCGGGCTGTCAGCTTGTGAATCATCTGTGTTTAGGAGGCAGAGGAAAAAAGATTCCAATGGCTTCTAATTAAAGACTTGTATAGAATACCATTTTTTAAATTGAAGTATAATTTACATACATTAAATGCACCCTTTTAAAGTGTAGTTTGATGACCTCTAACAAATGTATACAGTTGCACAACCTCAACTGAAATAAAGATACACAGAACATGTCGTTCATTCTAAAATATTCCCCGTGCCCCTCTAACCAGCTTCAGCCCCTGGCAACAACCACTGATCTGTTTTCTGTCCCTACAGTTTTGCCTTTTCTTTAAAAGGCCATTATACAAATTCAATTTATTTCAAAATTTTAAAACCGTTTCTTTACTGTAGGAAGAGCCAGCTTAGTCCCTGTGATGCCCAACATGAACATATCCAAAATTAACATGCTCTGAGAGCAAGAGCAGCAAAAATTGCACTATGAAGGATTTCCTCCTTTTCTCTCAAATGACTAAGAAATGCAACTGATCTTGAACGGTAATATCTGCTTTCAGTGACAACTCCAAGTCTTGTAATTGTGTTATTGATAAGGTCAGAGTTCATAGAGGAAGTATGACTATTAAAATTGTCATTTAATGGAAAAAGATCTCTTCCCCCCAGATTCAATTTTTAAAGCAATGTAGCTTTAAGTTCTTAAGTTCCTTTAAGTTCTATTCATAAATCACTAGCAAGTAATAAGTCAACAATTATTGATTCAGTGTCAAAAAGCAAGATATATTTTATTTTTAAAAACTTCAGCAATATATGGGAAATGGTTTATCTGGTCATACAAGTACTCCAATTAATAGCAAGCTACATGTAATCAGTACATACAGATTAAGAATTTTCAAAGTCTAACTACAGTGGATTCAGTACTAATGCAAATACTGCAAAATTTTTGATGATAATTCATTTGCTTTTAATCCAAAAACAGAAAAAACAAACATAGTCTCAATATATGATATGGTTTACTCTTATTCTAGTACTGTTATACTTAATAGTAAAAAAAAAAAAAAACAGGTAGACCGGAAGCACTTAACTTTTATTGAGGTATGGCTATCTTTGAGATCTCCCTAGAAAACTTTTCATACATAAACCGCCATATTTAATTTTATTCACACCCACTGAAGCTCATCTATGGACACTGAACCCCAGATAAAGTCCCTCTGCATTAGAAACTTAAGGAAAGTGTTCTCATTTGTACAGACAACAATCCTTCATATTGCATGTTGAAATTTCAGTGCAGAAAAACAACAAAAGAAGTAAGTAGATGAAGCATTATATATTAAAATATAAAAATATAACTTTGGAACACTGCGTCCATATTTTAAATTTTAAATCTTACAGTTCCAGTTGTCTTCTGAAGTTCTGTAGTTGATACCATTGTACAAAATTCCTTCTCTTGAATTAATGCACATAGAGTTGCCTGAATTGGTAAAAAAATAATTCCTCATTAGCTTTTCTACTCCACAGTGTCTTAGTTAGTCTAATAGTGATTCCTTCCATGATTTACTCTCCCTTCTGAAATGGAATTTAAAGGCTCTCCAGCACTCCTGGTTAACCACCAGCTAGCTCTGGAGAGGAACATCATGTTTGGTAAAGTAGAGGGTCAGCAAAGAAGAGGAAGACCCTTAATGAGATGGATTGACACAGTGGCTGCAACAATCGGCTCAAGCATAACAACGATTGTGAGGGCCGTGCAGGACTGGGCAGTGTTTCGTTCTGTTGTACATGGGGTCGCTATGAGTCAGAACTGACTCAACGGTACCTAACAACAACATGTTCCCAGCAGAAGAAAGTTTGCCAGCATATAATGATTTGGAAGTGGGGGAGTTAAAATAAAAAAACAAGAAAAAGACAATTATTACCAAAATACATTGCTCTTTCCGTAGTGAAACAAACTATGCGCCTTTGTACCTGTGTGCAATGCGGAATAAACCCATAGACGAGGAGGCGGTCATTGTGGAACAAAGACTGCACCCACGCTGGTGCCTGCAAGGGCTCAGGCAAATTCGTGCTTAGCTGCTGCCATTTGACAGAGACAGAGTGGCAACTCGGAGAGTGTAATCTAGTCATTTGGTCTTCTATCTATTTAGAAAAGATGAATTATTCCTTTTTCAATTTTACATCCAGGAAACACAGTGCTGATGGTGTTATTTAACATTTAAAATGAATTTTATATTCAATCCTTTGGGATTGTTGCTCTTTGTTTTTTTTGTCCTTCCTGCTACAGGTACTCTTTTAAAAGCAACTATATAGAATTTTTTATAATAGCATTATCACATAACTGAAATTCACAAAACATCCTAAAATTATTTCATTAGCTAATTACTAAACTTTAACTATAGGTATGGAGTAGATTCCAGTTATAAAAATTCATGCTAACAAAACCTATGTAACACTTTTTAAAATCAAGCCATGACACTTACAAAGCAGAAATCAAATTATGAGCTAGAAGAATGAGTTAAGTATTGACTGTGTTCCTGCTAGATACGAGACAAATGGTCATTAGGGCAGGTGGTCAGACCTTCGGTAGCTTTAGCTTCTTTATGGCTCCTCATTCCGTTAACGAAAGCATAAGAGTTACTGTTACTATCCTTGTAAGAAGATAATATTTCCACATGTAAACGTAAGACTATATATAAGATGTTTAAAAATCGTACCTGCGTTTTCCAGCTATGCTTGGATTTTGAGTTAAAATATTCAAATACTCCGGCACCACACTGGGACAAAGTCCTTAAGATATGATGATTTGCTGTAGAACTAATCACATTCCACATGTTTTAATTTTCAAGAAATTTTAGAAAACTTTCGAAGTACATTTGAACAATGTTGACAAAGCTCAAAACTGAATAGAAGAAGCATTACAAGAAGAATTTACTCTTCTACATCTGAGGTTAGAGAGAGAAAACTTGTAACAGACAGTATGATATATCTGAAGGTTTGGGTAATTTCAGCTCCCACATATCAGAGGACTTACTTATCTTTGACAATAGAAATAAGGAAAAAGGTAGAACTCTTGACTTCTGGTTTACCTATGGAGAGAGTAGATGATTCTGAAAAAACCCCAAAGGTATCAAAAGAGATCAACTACTTCTGATGAAATGTCTAAGTTACCTGAAGCAGATCCCAAAGGCCAAGAACTGGCAAATGTGTTAACAGAGTCTGCATCTTAAATTTTGATACATCACATCTAGATAGCACAAGTTATAAAAGAAGTGACTCTCACTCTAGCAAAGAAAATCTTTCATATTTAAGTGACAAGCATCCTATTAAGTTTCTCTCAATAATCAAGAATGCCTTTCTTGGAAAGTTTCCTCCTGAAATATTATAAAAATGATCAATTATTTTTCAGAAAAAAATACTTTAAAATTATTTCTAAGGTATTTTTTAGCCCAAGCTAAACACTGATTTTATCTTTTGTTGCCAAAATTAACTGGCAATGATCATAATGTTGATTAGAAAATCCTTAAGACAAAGTTCATTTGTATTTTCTAGATTTCATCAGGTTAGTCAGGCTGGTTAGAATCTTTTTTGTGTTCCCATTGTGGGGACTGCAGAGGACAAGTTATTTCAACGAGAAGAAGACAGAACCAAAGATCGCTACTACTGCAGAACTTGTATTACTAAAGTTTGTAAACGCAAAAATGTAGGTATAAAATGAGGCAGCATTTAGAAAGATCGTAAAAACTGACGTAAATCATGAAAATTGCAGCTCCTTCAGGCTGGGTCGTGTAACCAGCACAGCATCACCTCCTCAGGGGAGGTTTTCTGACTCATGGTCTTAACAGACCCCAACTCCCTCCAGCCCCACTCACCCTCGATCACAACTTCTCTATTTCCTTCCCAGCACTTACGAAAACCAGAGCTCACCCTCTAATTTGCAGGATTACTTGTTGACTGTCTGCCTACTAGAATGAAAGCTTCTTAACACAGGACTCTCCCAGTCTCCCCTGATGTTGCACCCCAGTACCTAGCACAGTCTACCTTGTGATGAGCACTCAGTGTCTGGTGCTTTCTGAGCCATGGCATCTGAACCTTGCTCATTAGCATGGTCTGGGCTTCTCCAGAGAAGTATCAGCAGGCCTGTTCCGTGGCAGTGTGGAGTCTGGTCGGAAGGAAGTAGGTAGTATTGCCATACACCAGGAAAAATTTATTGGTGCATCAGCTCAGGCAGGAATACCACCAGTGGAAAAGAGAGGACTGATCCCTACAGCAGGTACTAGCTTCAAGTTCACAGGTGCTACCTAATTACATAAAGCTCCATTACTACAAATTCCTGCTAGAGTCTGCTCTAGGTTGAATAAGTTTAATTTGGTCTGTGATGCCCTGATAGGCCTTGGATATCACAGAGCAGGAGCAGGAGCTGTGACTGCAAAGGAAGGGCCAAGAGGAGAGAGAGAGTGTATCTAGCAGCACTCTGGGGCAGGCAGGTCTGGCCTGAGTGCAGTGGAGCGAGCACCCAAGGGCTCCTGGATCAGCCGGAGGAACACTGCTGACCTGGACTTCCTGTCCCCACCCCCATCCCCTCAAAGTGTCAAGGTGAGGGTATGTTTAGTGTATGGGGAGAGGAGTTGCCTCCTTGTATTGCCTCAGAACAAAGAAACCTGGCAGATCCTTTTCTGAAAGGGTAACTGTCTGCAGGGAAAGTACAGGGGGCTTCAGGGACAAGACTAGAGGAGTATGCTCTGTGCAAACATCAGTCTAGAACCTTCTGTTCAGCATTTTCCTACTATTTCCACCATACACCTCAGTTCAATCAGAAAAAGCAAAATATAGTGGAAAGAGGGTCAATTCCAAAATCAAGGAGTTTTCACTTCCATGCAGGAACATTCTATTTATACTCTACTTGTACTTTATAAAGTTCAAATGCTCACAGTAGCCAGAAAGGTAATATGAACAAGCAAAACAAACTGGGTGGGGACTATGTCCAACTAGCTGGCCCAGGCCCACCTGAAGTAGCAGCAGGTACTGCTCAGCTCTAGTTAAACATAACTTCATGAGGATGGGCTCCCAGACCTTCAGACATCTCAAGGCAGCTTGGAAATTTGGATTTTTATGTAAAATAATAATATCTAATATTTATTTGGTGCTTACCATGTGTCAGTACAGTTCTAAGTGCTTTCCATAAGTTAACTGATTTAATTTTCACAAGTCTATGAGGTAGACATTTTTATTATATCTTCATTTTACAGATAAAAGGTTAAGCAACTTGCCCAAGGTCATAGCTAACAAATGGCTGACTCAGGTTTTGAAACCCAGGCAGTCTGGCCTAGAGACTTTGCTCTCTACCTCTGAGCTACACAACTTTTACATACTAGCATCACTTCAAGCGAGCCCTGGAGGCACAATGGTTAAGCACTCGGCTACTAACCAAAAGGTCAGCAGTTCAAACCCAACAGCCACCGTAGGAAAAAGATGTGGCAGTCTGCTTCCGTAAAGATTACAGCCTAGGAAACCCTATGACGCAGTTCTACTCTGTCTATAAGGTCACTACGAGTCAGAAATGACTCAATGTCAATTTTTTTTTTTTTAAATTAACTTCAAAACTTTTAAAAATCCTGTGCAAACCAACCAAAAAGCCTACCTGCAGCCTACTCACCCAGTGCCACAGGTGAACAACCTGGTGTGTTGGACATTTCTTTTCACCAGCTGGAATGTGAGGCTCTCATTCTGAATGTGCCCATCAGATATAAGGAGGATGTTCCGTAGCCCTTGAGAAGGGTACAGCAAATTTAAATATCGGAGAGTTTTCCAGAAGTCTGTATTTCCCATGGTAGGTGAAGCAGCCTGGAGGATATGAGGCAGGAGATTGTTTACTCATCATTGGGAATATTCACCATTAACTGTCATCATTTCCTGAAGCACATGCCTCCTAGAGATACCGTCATTGAAAATTTTCTTTTTTCTACTTACACATTTATGGAACAACTATACTGACATCCTTTTAGTTTACTTTCATGTCACACTGTAATGATAATATTATTACTTTGTACATATTTACTTTTTTACAGTTTTCAAAGAACTATTGCATTCACTTCACTTATGGGAAGAAACGTCATATAAAAGTTTGCCAATCTAGACTGAAGCAGTGACTGGTTACTCTCAGCTTGCCCCATTTTAAGAGAAACAAAAAAAGAGAGAGAAGAAAACACTCCAAAACATTAATGGTGGTTACGTTTGGATGGTGGGGCTATGGGTGATTTTTTTCTTTCTACTCTTTAATATCCAATATTTCTTTAATGGGTACATATCACTTTTATTAATGGAATAAAAGAGCCTGCCAATATACAAAAACTGAAGAATAAGGGCTTTTCTGATGGTGGCCTCACGGAGAGCAAAACCTCAACAGTACTACTAAAATTCGATAGAAAAACACAGGAGATCAAGGAATGCTCTTTTACTCACCATAATGAACTCTGTTGGCATCTCATTACTTGTGATATACTTAGGATATGAAAATAATTCCTTGTAACCTGCATAATAAGATTGGCATGAGGTGTTACCATTAAGTATTCACTTTATTGACTATTAATAAACAATAATGTTACTTTATATCACCGCTATCTTGAAGACTATATTGTATATTTATGTGCATCCTTACTTTTAAGAAAACTATCTTTTATCAGTTTAACACAGTAGCCCTTTAAATAATAAATTCTAGTATATTCAAAATATGCATTTTACTATTCAAAATGTTATGACTCAAATTAAATGTTCTGTTCTCAAACATATCATGAATATAAAGGTACAAGAGGTCCCAAATTGCACAGGCAGCTTGGCCATGGTGAAAGGTGTACTCTCCATGCATATGCTTTGCACTGCCTATGCTAACTTGACCTCTACCCCCTGCAGCATGCAGACCCCAGCTCAACTGTAAAGTGGAAGAGGGTTTCTGCTGAATGGCACAGAATATAAGAATCACTGGAACACGGTATACCCCTTCATTCCATGCTATGTTCCTTCTCTCCTTTCTAAAGAGGTGTCTTCTGGAGGCTGAGATGTTTCAGTGGCCCAACTTGGAGGATGGGGTTACTTTACTTCTGATAGTGTTCATCTGATGTTTCCTGACCATTCCTTATAGATATTCTATGACCGCACTGATTTCAAATATTCTCTTCTTCTTATTCTTAGCACTTTAATTCTTGTTAGATGATGGGTTTTGCTTTTGGTTCAGTCAGTAATAATGCTAACAGTTATATTTACATAGCACTCGCTACGTAATATGCACTGCTTTAAGCACCTTACCTAACTCAATCCTCACAACAACCCTATGAGGTAGGGCCTACATATTAACCTCATTTACAGATGAGTAAAGTGAGGCATAAGTTCAAGAAACTTGCATAAGGTGACATGTATAGCTAGTAATTGGTTATTGCTGTTGTTGTTGCCATCGAGTTGATTCCGACTCATGACGACCCTGTGTGTTAGCAGTAAAGCTGAAATTTGAACCCAGGAAATCTGGCTCCAGAGCTCTTGATCTTCAACCCTATGCTACCTTTCATTCTACAAATGAGTTTGGGTTCACTGATTCAGCTCTACACAACAGTGTGTTGATATTAAAGAGGAAGCTCACTTTGGCTCAGAGCCCCAGAATACTTACTTGTACCAAACTTGACAATGTTTATTTTTTGGTTTTTATCCACCAGGGACAGTGCATATAAGGCAATTTTCTTAGCTTGCAAGAATGCTTCACCCTTCATAGAATTGGAACAATCAAGACAGATAATCACTTCACTCCTCTTGGCTGTTTCAGGGAGGGTGATATTGAAATCTGGCTGAAAGACAAGCATGCAAGCCTAAAAGAAAAAAAAAAAAAGCTTATAACTTAAAATGCTCTGACTTATTTATATCTCTACTACTTTATGTGTCAAGAAACCATAAAATTTCAGTCTAAAAACCTACCCACACAATCTTTCTAAACAGTGGACAAAAATTAAAGACATGTAATTGGGATACAGTAACAGAGAAAAAGAGTGGTCTATGAAAAATTGGTGACGAGGGGCAAAATGGTACTATAAGATAGAAGCACCAGCTGTCCCTCCAAAGCAAAGACCTGAAAAACTAAGCCAGACAGAGAAAAATGTCAATCCTGGAAGCCTAAGCATCAAATGAAGAGATAAACAACTCAGCCAAGCACCGAATGGAATAAGAAACTGACAAAGAACAGACAGCGAGGAGAGATACATGCAGAGGTCTCCTATCAGCTAAAGCAGCTGATTCACCATCTTGGACTCCTGTCGGAGATCGGCGAACAGGGAGTACAGAAAAGCAGCTTCACGGGACTCCCAGCAGCAGACAGAACAACTGGTAACCAGAGATATACGCTTTCCCACCCTCCACCCTTCTTCACCCCCACTCAGCCTCCTCTGCTTCCTGCGGTCACAATCTCTTGGCCGGGAGACACCAGGTTCAGCCCTATACCACTTGAGTTCCACCTGCCCACAATGGCCCACACCCTGAGTGCCATTTCTTTGTTGCCGGTGTTGCTTTTTTCTGCTTCTTTTGATTTCTTCCATACCTCTCACCACCTCCCTCTCCTTTCTCTCAAATATCTGGCTCCGTCTGCCATCTTTGCTTCTTCATGAAAGCCTTGAACTGCCACTCGACTATGGAACTGCTTCCCAACCTGCACTGCCACGCTGGTGGGATCCCTGGGGCTTTTTTGTTTGTTTTGATTTGTTCTGTTTTTATTTATTGTTTGTTTGTTTTCTTTTTCTTTTCTCAGCTTGAGAGCCCCTTCTAGGCGGCCTGTACTGTGCGGCTTGGGAGCTACTTCCCAAGTCTGTGCAGTTGCGCAGTGGGAACCCTAGGGGGCATTTCTTTTTACTTTTTCATTTTTTTGTTGTTTCTTTTCCTTTTCTCTCTTCTTTCCTTTTTGTCTTTATTCATTTCTCCGTTTCTCGTCTCTCTATACTTACCTTCTCTTCCTGTCTCCTCAGTACCTGGCACTGTGTGAAACTACTAACCTTTCTAGCCAGGCTGTACTTTGTGGCTTGGGAGCTACCTCCCCAGTCTTCCCAGCTGCACCAGTGGGATCCCTGGGGGCTTTTCTTTTTTTTTCAAATTTTTATTTATTTCTTTTTTAATTTTACCCGTTTTCTTTTTTTTTCCTTTCCTTTTTTCTCCATTTCTCAGTCTCTGATCTCTCCACTCCAACAGCAAGCTCCCTTAGCACTCTTCTTGTTTGTTTGTTTTTTGGTTTTGGCTCCTGTTTCTATCTCATCTCTATCCTCTTTCCCATACCCATCTTAGTGCCACAGATCACAAATGCCCCGTTCCTTCCTGCCTAACTGCACAGTGTGCTGAACATCACGCCCCCAGCAGCACAGGCATGGCCTACTGCAACATGCCCTGCACTAATGCCCAGCCCACCCTGTCGACCCTAGTATGTGCCACAAACAACCCATCCAAGTAACTCCCCTTCAGATGGACCTGCCCTACTGCACGTTAGCTGAGTGACTGACCCTGCCGATCGGACAAGGAGGTGGAAAATATCATGCCCACAGACGAGCAAACGTCAAAGAATGCACAGCCAGCCTGATAAGACATAAACAAATAAAACAAAAAAGCACGACAAAATAAACAAATCTACAATCAATAAACAAGGAAAATAACTACTGAATGTCCCGAAGACAGCAGAGAATATTAAAACAAAAAAACAGGATAGGATAGTACCAGTAGGCACCCGAAATAAAACACCAGATGATTTTTCAGTAGAAAAAAAGGCACTAGAACTACCCGATACAGAATTCGAATCTCTAATATTCAGAGCTACCCAAGAGTTGAAGCAAAAAGCAGATAAAAATGAGGAAAAATAGACAAATTCATGGAAAAGGCAGACAAATTCATGAAAAATATAGACAAAAAAATGGAATTATTCAGGAAAATAATACAAGAATAAAATGCCAAAATAAATTCACAACTAGAAACTACACAAAAACAACAATTAGAAATCCAAAAGATAAACAACAAGATTTCAGAAATGGACAGTGTAACAGAAGGGCTGAGGAGCAGGTCTGAATGGATGGAAGACAGGATCAGCAAAATTGAAGACAAACACTTGGATCCAACTCTGTTTGAGGAAAAATAAGAAAAAAAAACAAAGAAAAATAAAGAAACCCTGAGAATTATGTAGGATAAAATCAAAAGCAAAAATCTGCGAGTGACTGGAGTTCCAGAACACGGGTAGAAAACAGAAAACACAGAGGATCACTGAAGAGCTGCTAACAGAAAACCTCCCCAGTATAAGGAAACATGAAAAGCTGGCCATCCAAGAAGCTCAATGAACCCCATACAGGATAGACCCCAAAGAGAATCACCAAGGCATATCATAATCACACTTGCAAAAATCAAAGTCAAAGAAAGAATCCTGAGAGCAGCTCCAGAAAAAAAAGAAAGGCACATACAGAGGAGAAACAATAAGACTAAGCTTGGATTATTTGGCGGAAACCATGAAGGCAAGAAGGCAATGGGATGTCATATATAAAACCTTGAAAGAAAAAAATTGCCAACAAAGAATAATATATCCTGCAAAACTCTAGTTAATATATGATGGTGAAATTGGGACATTTCCAGATAAACAGAAATTAAGGGACTATGTAAAAAACAAACCAAACTTACAAGAAATATTAAAGGGAGTCCTTCAGTCTAAGAACAACATCAAACCACAGGCTGAATCTAGGAGGTAAGATTGTACCAGCCAGATACCTACCTAGGAAATGAACTCTCAGGAACTATCCAAAAACAAAAGAATTACAACAGGGAATCAGAGAGGTTAACCTGTAAATGACAACATCAGAACAATAAAAGAGGGAATAAATGGTGTAGGTGTACAAAATTCTAATGGAGAGGAAGGCAAGATGATACCATGTAATAATAGACTAGTCCAAACCTAGGAATATAAGGGTACATTTCAAGGTAACCGCAAAGAAAGTTAACAAACCTACTCATCAAAATAAAGAAAAAAAACATAAAATCTTAGTTAAATCAAAATCTACAAAAAAAAAAAAAAAGAAATGGAAAAAAAAAATCCACAAACAAAGGGAACTCCACACAGGAGTATATGAGGAACAAAGAGAATGTCAGCACCACGAAAAAAGCATTACAAAATGACAGCAATAAACTCACACCTATCAATAATTACACTGACTGTATTTAAACGCACCTATAAAGAGATGCAGAGTGACAGAATGGATTAAAAAAAACAGGATCCATCAATATACTGTCTACAAGTGACACACCTTAGAAACAAAGACATAAATTTACTAAAAATCAAAGGATGGAAAAAATATATCAAGCAAATAGCTACCAAAAAAGAGCAGGAGTGACAATACTAATCTCAGATAAAATAGACATTAAAACAAAATCCACCATAAAAGACAAAGAAGGGCATTATATCATGATTAAAGAGATGATCCAGCATGAAGACATAACCATAATAAACATCTACACAAGAAATGACAGGGCTTCAAAATACATTAACTCTAACAGCACTGAGAAGAGAAACTGACAGTTCCACAATAATAGTAGCAGACTTCAACACACCACTCTCAGTAAAAGACAAAACATCTAAAAAGAAACTCAGCAAAGATACAGAAGACTTAAAGGACACGATTAGTCAACTTGACCTCACAGACATATATAGAACACCCTACCTAACAGCTACCAACTACACATTCTTTAGCAACACACATGAAACGTTCTCCAGAGTAGACTACATCTTAGGCTACAAAGTAACCCTCAACAAAATCCAAAACACTGAGATAATACAAATTATCTTCTCTGACCACAACACCATCAAGGTAGAAATTAACAACAGGAAGAGTAAAGAAAAAAAGTTAATTACACGGAAACTGAATAACACTCTGCTTACAAACCACTAAGTACTAGAAGAAATCAGAGATGGAATAAAAAAATTCCTAGAATCAAATGAGAATGAAAACACATCATACCAAAACATTTAGGACACAGCAAAAGCAGTCCTCAGAGGACACTTTATAGCAATAGATGCACACATCAAAAAAAGAAGAAAGGGACAAAATGAAAACATTAACTACCCAACTTGAACAAACAGAAAGAGACCAGCAAAAAAGGACTACAGCAACCAAAAGAAAGGACACAATAAAGATCAGAGCACAAATAGATGAAATAGAGAATAGGAAAACAATAGAAAGAATCAACATGACCAAAAGTTGGTTCTTAATGGAAGAAACAACAAAGTCAACAAACTAACAAAAGAGAGGAGAAGTTGCAAGTAACCCAAATAAGAAATGAAATGCGGGACATTACAACAGACCCAACAGAAATACAAAGGATCATAACAGAGTATTATCAAAAACTGTACTCCAACAAATTTGAAAACGAAGAGGAAATGGGTCAGTTTCTAGAATCACACTACCTACAAAAACTAACACAAAGTGATGTAGAAAATCTGAACAGACCCATAACAAGACAAGAGATTGAAAAGGTCATTAAAAAAACTGCCAACAAAAGAAAACCCCGGCCCAGATAGCTTCACTGGAGAACTCTACAACATTCAGAATAAGAGCTTACACCAGTACTACTCAAACTATTTCAAAACATAGAAAAGGAGGTGACACTTCTGAATTAATTCTATGAAGCCAGCATAACCCTGATACCAAAACTCGGAAAAGACACCACAAAAAAAGAAAATTACAGACGAATATCTGTCATCAATATGGATGCAAAAATTCTCAACAAAATTCTAGCCAACAGAATTCAGCATCATATCAAAAAAAATAATACATCATGACCAAGTAGGATTTATACCAGGTAT